TAAAAATGTGACTTGTAGGTTTTCGATCACTGGCAACTGATGGCAGGAACTCCTCTGGAGAAGGGCAGTAAGCTGGAGCAGTTGGTGCACGACATCAGGAAGCGTAAAGGGCTCAAGATTGAGATCCCTGCGCTCGATAACTACTACGACAAACTCTAAAAAAATTATTTCTTCCTTTCTTTCCTTTTGTAACTGAAAAGAGACTTTCTTTGCTGCTCTTTCATGAAACGCTTTGATGACACGAAACACACCCCATGCATCTATTTCCAAGCTTGCTTCTTTTCCACGTACGCCATGATGTGGACTCAGTCGTCGCATCTTGACAGTTCTCAGTGATGAGATGGTCTTCTTGATAAATCTTGCTACACTCAACATCCACTGACACGTCTGGGAACATCTACGTACCAACTCATAGCTGCTACTCTCAATCCTATCCATGACACTCAGGATGACTCTAACTCATCCCAGACCAAGATAGACCATTTTTGTTGTCTCATTTCTTCCTTGGAAAGATGGCTACTCGCTCACTAGATGGATTCAGTATCTTTGGCCTCGTCGTGGTAATCTTGGCTAGTAAGTCAACCAGCCATAATTATCAAGATTGTTCTAACTCTCCTTTGTTTTCCATCAGTGGTGCCTGTCCTGTTTCCCCTTCGAATCAAACTAGGGGTGAGAGTCACTCGGCAGTTGACCAAGTGGGGGCAGTGGACTCGATTAATTGGCGGGTCATCACCTCCTGGAGGAGATTCACAAAGTAGTACAACAGCTGTTATTGCTTCTGAGGATGACCCTCATGAACACCCTCCGTCCTCAACAGCCAAACAATCATCCAACTGGACCGTGACCTTGAACCTCACCACTTCCCCGCCGCTCGCCGTCCTCGTTCTCCTTGCGACCACCACCATTAATGGCTCCGTCATCCGCAGCGGCATCGTCGGCGACGGCGATAGCAAGCCCTATGATGTACTCGTCCTCTTCATCTCATTGGTCAGTCTCCAGCACGTATTTACCCTTCAATCGAGTAATCAATGACACGAGCAATTTTCTTCTCTGTTGTAAGGCCTACATCGCAACCGCACTCGACTCCACCGGCGCTTTAAGAAGCCTTGCCTTCTTCGTCGCAAATCACACCAGCGGCTCGGGCCCAAGACTGTACTTTGTCTTATACTGCTTCTTCTTCGTCTTTGGCGCCATCTTTGGCAACGATCCCATCATCCTTTCCGGCACTGCTTTCTTGACCTACTTCCTCAAACATTGTGGGATTACGGATCCGACTGCTTGGATCTTCATGGAGTTCGTCGCCTCCAACATCGCTAGTGCCGTTCTCGTCAGCAGTAACCCTACTAATGTTCTGCTGGCACAAGCCTTTGACTTGAATTTTATAACGTACGTTGCAGGTACCTTTGATGCCTTCCGCTCTCATCATCTTTGACACTTTTTTTCCCTTTCTTTTTTGGGTGTGTGCAACAGCGGGTTCACAAAGTTCACCATCATACCCTCAGTCGTCTCGGCTATTGTGGGATACGTTGTGTTATACACTATGTTCAAATGCCTAACCGTCAGCAATACTCACGGCACTTCATCACCTTCCGTGAAGGAAGACCCCCACCAAGAACCTCGCCAATCATCGACCCGAATTCCTAAAAGCGATCCTACATCATTCGGCGCCCGACGAAGCCTTCTAGAGCTTGCAAAATCCCTATTTCGTTGGATTCCAAGGGCGAATTACATCCCAGACAAACTGCACCAACCCATTGTGAATCCGCGCTCCGTCCTAGTGGATCCACAAGGCGCGTTTTTCCACGGCACGTTGATGATTACCACGTTGCTCCTGTTGGTCGGGATCACGTTTGTCAAGAATGCGTCCGTCTGGCAGGTGACTATGCCCGCGGGCATCTTGGCTTTGATCCGTGATATCATCTGCGACATGCGGTCGCAGTACCGCAAATCGTCCCGAAGTACCGACGAGGCGCTCGAACTCGAACGCAATCCTATCCGCCTTGATTCGTCCAAAATCGCCGGCCCCATTCTTGCAGATGCGTTGCACGGAAAACGCGACGAGGATCCGGCTGTCTCATTCCCTCAACCCGTGGTACCTGCCCCACTGCGTTTGGTCAAGAGTGCTACACCGACAATTGCCCAACCCCCTGTTCAAGCAAACCTTACACGAAGCGCGTCTAGTGCCTCGGGGTGAGCTTGGCCCTTGGCCCTTCATTTTTCTTTTTTTTCTTACTCGACAAAAAATCAAGAAAGTTGCATTCCGGAACTCACACACACACTGATTGCCGGTGTTACCTCCCCTCCATCTTTTGAATGGCACTCACAAAGCAGTGCAAGCAAGGGTACGACCCGGCGGTCTCCGGGATGGAATGTGGCAGGGTGTATCGAAAGGCTAGCGCGGCGGTTCCCATGCACCTCCCAAACCATCCAACATCTCCCACTGCCCTTGGTGCCCTTCGCCATGGCCATGTTCATCCTCATTAGCGCCTTGAGTCACTTGGGCTGGGTCGCCGTCTTCGCCCGTTGGCTCGCGTCCGTCTGCACTTCTCCTGCTGTCACCGTCTATACCGTCGGCTTTATCGGGAGCCTGGTTTTGTGTCCTTTCATGGGAAGTCAGTCAATCACCTCTTTCCCATTCTCCTGTTGTTTATATTCACATGTTCTTGAATCTTTTATATTTGGACAATTTTTATTATTATTTGATTGATCCGTGACGGACTTTTGTTTGAGTTTTGAACAGCCAACATCGGGGCGACGATCCTGATGGTGCGAGTGATATCGGATGAAGGATTTGTGGGGGCGGAAGGGGTTCGATCCGATGGACGGATCCTACGTGCGGCGATATTCGGGACTGCGATGGCGTCGAACATCGGGGCGTTTAGCCTCACCATCCCGTCCTCCTTGGCCGGCCTCCTCTGGCACCAGATCTTGAGCCAAAAGGGCATCCACATCCGGAACCGTCATTTCATCGCTTGGAACTTCCTTCCCCTCATTCTCCTCTCCCTGGTCGCTTTCTCTATCGTGTTGGTTGAAGTCTTGTTTGTTTTTTAGTTTCACTTTCTTTTGTGCATGCCGTTCTGCCCAGTACAACTGTCTCCCCTCCCTTTTTTTATTATTCGTTTATGCCGATCATTCGCGCTTCACTGCTTGATGTAATTTACTCCTCCTTATCGCTGCGAAAAACATAATATACACCCCCAAATAAATACGCGACCCCCAATAATTAGATCTGCGACCACCCGGAAACCCGGAATTGGATGGAGTTTGGGGGTTGCCAACCCAAAAAACAGGGGTCACCGCCCCATGAATTCCAACCAACTTTGCGAAATGACGAAGCTTGGGGGCCTCCAACCCACAAAATAGGGGTCACCGCCCCAATACAATCAAAGGAAATTATATAACATTAATTATTTAGGCCTTCCCCCAAGATATGAGTTTTTGGGGGAACACAACAGGCTTAATACAAAAAACTAATTACAAAATATCCACCCATTTTGACCATTTTTTGATCAAAATTGGTGGCAATGATGCATAAAAAATTGTATTACCCCATTTTTAAATAAAAAAATAAACTTCTTTTTTTTGCTCAAATCATTTTTATATCTTTTCTTTTTTTGCTTATGTTGAACACCCTTAAATATTTTATTTAGGGGGTTTGACACGCGACCCCCCCTTTTTTGTTCTGCGACCCACGGGATGTTGCCCCGCTGGTCCGTGTGGGTTGCAGAACCAATCCTCACTATGGCGTGGGTTGCAGGTCAAAACCCGCAACCCCAGTGGGGGTTGGGTCGCACCCCCAAATTCCTTTGGTCACGGGCCCAAATCTAAGCTCCAGCAGGGGTTTGGGTCGTGGAACCAATCCACTTCCGTGGTTTTGGGTCGCGGCACAAATACCCAGTTCATCAGGGAATTGGGGGGTTGCAGGCCCAAATTGTTATGACCTTGTAACCCCATCTGGGACTTGCCAGGGGTTTCCTCAACTGGGGGATTATCTCCAGCCTCCGCACCTTTGTACATCCCACAGTTAGCAATCTACATTCTAACCTTGACCATAACATATTGCTAACTCTATAAATCTTTTTCTCTCCTCTACCAACCNACAAGGGAGTGTTTGTTATTGAGGATCAAGAAAGAAGCTCACCAATCTAGCAGTTTTCCCGCAGTGAAACCAAAGAGTACCTGATACACATAGGAGGAGGACACTCAGTTACCTACTGAGACGGTTTTTCTTTCCACAACGCTATTCATCTTTGCTTCCAACTTCATTATTTGAGTTACCAACATTTGCCCTTAATTCACTGTCCATCAACCCTAAATTTTCAAATTGCCCCAAATGCTCACCTCCAGATCAACAGAATTCCAAAACTCAGTAGGAGCACAATTCAGATCAAGTGGAGGTAGATCATTTGGCTTCCCATTTTCTTTTTCTGGAATCTTTTCTTCAACAGTTTGCTTATCCTTTTTTCCTCATGTTCTATCAATACCTGTTTCTTTTGCTTTCTTTAGGCTTGCATCTGTTTCATTCCATTCCTGATTCTATTCTTCTTCATCTTGAGCAATTCACAAGGCGCAGTTTCTAAGCAGGTACTTGTTAACTCCCTTTTCTTATTCTCTATTATTTCTCATATTTTTATCATCTGTGATGTTTGTTTGTCTTCAGCTTCTTTACTTAGATTTTATTATCAGCTGCAATAAAGTCAGAGATCCTCAAATTGTTACAGGCTTGAGTCATGATGTTGCTCCCATTGCATGCTGGGTGATGAGAGCTACAAGACTTCTGTGAAAAGATGAGGAACATCAATTTCCAGAAATCTTCAACTCATTAAAAATCAAGAACAACAAATGTTCATTAGGGAGTATCAACTATGACCAAATCTTCCATGATTTAACTGACAGGTTTCAAATGTTCCACCATTTTTAGAATGTGTTGGTGGTTCACTCATCACCCCTTAGTGGATGACTTCCCGGTGGTTTGGATTGCCTAATTTAGATAGGCTAAATCTAAGTTCCAAACTTTGCTTGGTGGTGAACCTGACTGTCATCAATTTTCATCACCAAACAAAGCTTAGAATTTAGATTTAGAAGTTCCAGATTAAGGAATGTGGGTGATGGGAAGTCCTCCCTTACTCATTAAATTGGAAGACTTCCCTTGGTCCAGATTGCTTAATTTAGATGGGCTAATTCTAAATTCTACACCATGTTTGGTGAGGGGAACTCATCTTCATCATTTTTCATAACCAAACTAAACAAAGTTTGGAATGTAGAATTAGCCTAAATTAAGCTTTGTGGGTGAAGGGAAGTCTTCCTTTGACTGGTTTTTAATTGTGGATTTGGTATATTTGATATCCCCTATTTCCCCTCTACCAAAGAAAAAAGGCCAAAATTAATCCAAAGAAGTAGAAACAAAACCAAGAAGAACAAGGTTGCGAATAAGACAGAGTGAAAACTGTGGCTTCATTCCTTTATATGTGATTCCTGAGCAACTAGAATGGCCCACCTGCAACCGTGGGCAGCTGTTTTTCCTCTTTTTTCGTTCTGGACTTGATCTCCAGATGTGCATAAGGTGGATGCAAACCAAATGAGTCGATTGTTGGTATGTATTGCATCAGAAGTGAGTCTTATAATTCTGCATGTTCCTGGTGGGTGTTTGGTGTGTTTCTTCTTAACGACGGCATTAGTCGTGGAGTGTTCCTTTGTCTCTCAACTCTAACTTTTCTTCAACATTCATCTTCAAAAACCCGACCTTGTCCTACTCAGACTTGTTTCCATTCGCTCCGGATCTCTGTGACTCACCTTTCCCTGAGGAAGTATTCAGGTCCGTCTCAACTTTTCTTCTTCAATTCGGCTCGGACAATGCGACGGTTGACCTTTCTTTGGAATTTGATGACAGTACAGTTTTACGTACACCAGCGTGGCTACTCTCCCAATACTCCTCCAAGAGGACATCCCCGGATCAGCCAACTGAGCCACTGATCTGCTCGTTTTATCTCTCCCGGCCCTTCCGTTCTCTGGCGAATCGTCCTCTACTTACTACCGTCACTTCAACCAGTCCGCTTCCTGCTGGGTTCCAAAATTGTACATACGTCATCCACCAGAACTTCATACGTTGACTGAGAGCATGGTGATAGAATCATCGCCACATTCCTCAATACGTCGAAAGATGAGAGGAGGGTCGAGTGGAGGCATCAACGCGGTCGAGGCCCACAGCGGTAACCATCGTCAGTCGCTGGCCTTTGAACTAGCTGCCGCCATGGAACCAGAAGAGAACGACCAAGCGAGCATTCTTGAACAACTAGGCCTCGGTGATGATGATGACGAGGGACTCGTCGCAGATTGTCACAACTCGGACGACCAAGCCGTTGATCAAGAAGGTACCATTTATGAAGGCGAAGAATACTCAAATCCCAATCATTTCAATGTGATTGATGATCAAACGGCGCTGCAGTTTTTAGAACCAGAACTTCTGAGGAACCAATCGAGTCGCTCAACCATCGGATCGACCAACAAACGCTACTCGCATGCCTCCACATTTGGCTCCTCTATCTCTCCACGCAAATCCTCAGCCCGGGAGGCCAGTTTCTCTACCCCCATGAGGACCCTCAATAGAGAACTATCTCGCTCCACCTTGAACACGATCGATTCGACTTCACACTCAAACGTGGGAATTTTGGACATTGATGAATTTGGTGACTCGATCGATCTCCACCAAGATTCATCTCAGATCGATGACCATGAGGAAGATGGGATGTATGGCTCCCCGAGATCGAGTGAACTATCTGAGGACGGAGATGCAGAAATCTTAGAAGCCGGGTTGAAATCGACTGCAAAATTCTTGAACTTATTGAAACAATCAAACACCGATTGTCCTACATCTCTTATTTCAAATAAAGCCCTTAACAGCCAACAACAGTCACCCACAAGTCCATCAACACCTACAACACCCACAGCTACAAGAACGGTTGCCGAGAACCAGCCAGATAAACAGCCAATAGTAGAAAAAATGATCACAGATATTGTTCGCACGATGACCGAACAAGTTCGAGATCGCGAGTCACAGATCCGGGAACTCAAAGAGATCGAAATCGCACTCTCCAGGACGGACAGAAGATTTCTTGCCGACCTGGATGAACTGCCCAACATATTGGAAGAGCGAGACTTTAGGAATTCGACCATCTTGGGCAAGTCTCTGGCCCTTCCATCGGACCTAACGTCATTGGCGCGTGATGGGTTACCCAAACCGCTCGACGATTTAGATCAGATTGTCGATCGGCACGATCACGAGCTGGTGCAAATGGATGAACTTGGGGAAGATGATGAGCCGGAGGGAGGGAGACTGACGCCGACGGGTCCCCGAAACGATCAACATAGCTCACTCCAAACCGATCTAGTGGACGACGCTGGTTCGAAAAAGAAAGAGGGGAAGAGACCCATCGAAAACTTGGGAGAGCTTAAGCTGATCACGAACAGTCTGATCCACTCCTTAAACCAGATCCACGAACACACCCAAATCAGCAGGCAGACGCAGATTGAGATTGTCCGCAAGCTGAAGGGCGTCAAGGGGCTCGTGGCTAATTGGAGGACGGACTTTGACTCGATCCAGAACTCGATTGATTTTATCTCTAATTGGGAACTCGACCAATTCCGCAACCCCGATGATTCGCTCGGCTCCCCTCCTACAGATTATCGCGACAAAAAAATCCGAGGCATCTTTGAAGTTCAGGTCAAGTTGGTTAGTGGTTGTCTTCGTCTTTTCTTTTCGGCAGCTCTTCCATATCATCGTTAACGTTCGGCTTGGGTATGAAAATCCAGGCCACATCGGGCGTAGAGAAACTCCTGAACGACGCCTTCATCAATGCTTCCGCTCTACTCCAACCACACCCACCTCCTCCCTCGTTAATCAACTGATATATTAACCTTTTCCTTATTTATTCATTTGTCGAAATAGAGGTCTCTCTATCTCTTTCCTTCCTTGAATCATCTTCCTTCCGCGTCATTGGCATGATTTTTTTTACTATGTCATATTGTCTATCCTTTTCTGTGCCTTTCCTTTTATAACTCTTATTATTTTCAGCTCTCGTATGGTCGTCATCATTGTCGGTGCCGATGCGCTCTTTTATATTTAGTCGTCGTTTTCCCGTGGCAGTAATCTGTTCAGCTCCTCTCTCCCTCTTTTTCCATGTCTCTCTATCTTCATATTATCCACTTCATAATGAATGAGCCTCTCGGTTTCCCGACTTGTTTTGCTTCTTGCTTTTGTTACAGCGGCCTCTTCTCCTATGGGGTTATATACATGTACGAAGAGAAAGGGGCGATGTCATTGCATCTTTCGCTAGGAGTGCTTGTTCCTTTCATCATGTTTTTTTTTTCTCGTGTTGCTTCGTTTGTGTTGTGTTTCTGCTTCAGGATGGTCTTTGTCCCCCCCCCTCCTCTCTTTTTGTTTTTCTTCAAAATATACTATTGAGAATTTCTTCGCGAGAGACCGGTTTATGTGACAAGTGCCCATTAAGAAAGTATCTAAAAGGGCTCGGACAACGCCTAGATCTTGATCAAGTTTTTTTTATCATTTTATATAAACAAATCTTTGATATAGAGTTTACATTTGCGTTTGATACAAAATTGTTCAAAAAAATCAAGAAGTGTTCCCAGTAAAGGGGCTCAACAGTATTCATGTGATTCACAATTTGGTCATGCTGGACTTACGATTTCATGTAGAATGCGGTTCAAAAATCAATTTTGAATACCACAACTGCAAAGAATAGAAGAATTATGAGAGTGAACAATCATTGCTCGGGGATTCTGAGCTGGGAATATGGGATATGAACGGGGCGACAGGACGGAAGCGGACGAGGGAGGTGAGCATAGAGTGTTGGATGAAGGGAAGCGCAAAGGGTGACCACTACTCCGTACTTATGGGTGTTGTTGTGTTTTCCGGGAACCACCCAAGGCAGCGACACTGAGTCTCGTCTACCCAAGGGCCACATATCCCCGTTGGCCGGGCTGCTACAGCATATGGGGTTCTGCTGGGCATCGTCTCGCGAAGAGCAGAGGTTGCAGAAATAGGCCAAGGCTATCGATTCCTTCGTATAGCGTCCAATCTCGCCAAACATTAATCTCTCCGGCCTGCATCGCTCTTAGCCTCTGCTGCGGAGAGTCCTCCGGACGGGGGTCCAAATACCCCGAAGCTGGAGAGGGTTGTTAAGTAGCCTTCCTTTTTGGGTGATATACCATGCGACACCACAATTATGAGGCGCCGATGGTCGAGTTGATGAAGCACACCTCTGCTCGGGACAGGTCTGTCTGGCTGTGTTGGCTCGGAGCTGCCCTATCGTCAGTGGAGCTGGTGCGTTCGATTCTCAAGGGCGCAACGAGAACGAGGGCACGTGGCGTCAAGAGTTGCATGCCGCAAATCATCATACTTGCCATGTGCGCGGTCATGACAATGACGGCAGGAGTCGACGGGGTGTCTAGGAGTATGCTCAGAAGGGCACTCCCTGATATGTGCGAGCAATGCAAGCACATTTCTCACGACCCATACGCGTGGCACTGGAACATGGAGGCTGTCATATCTAAACGCCTTTGTAATCAAGCCACACAGGACAACACTGGCAAATGGCACGAGTGTTCAACTGTGGAATGGGGACACTTTGGGCGATGCAAGACCTGCAAATCTGTCACTAGCGCTGTCTACACGCCCTGTGCCAAGCATGCTGCCAAGTAACCTGGCTGCTCCTTCTCATCCTTCACCTGTGTTATATAGAAAAAGACTGTGTCAGCAGGTACATGAGGGGCATGATTCAAGTCACTATGTGGTTGTTTTGCCAATTTGGCAAATACAAGGGAAATTCCCCACACCCCACCCCTCCTCAACTTGTGCAGCCATGGGCATCACAGGTGAGCTCTGGCCTTGTAAGGGTCCAACTGCACTTGTAATAAGGACCCTTACAAGTCCGCACACTCAGAGTGACACAAGTTGGCATTCTGCAAGTCACATTTACACCAATCCCAACCCTTACACAAGTTAATACTACCCTTGTACAGCTGACCCTTCAGCTTCCTTTTTTTACACTTGTACTGGTGC